TGCATGAAGGTTGTACTAAGGCCACAATTTTATTGATATTTTATCAATTTAATTATTAAAAATAATTACTAATTAATAAAATAATAAACAAATATAACTACAGAGATATTTGTCATAATCTGATTTTTATTTCAAAATCATGTCATAACTTGATTTTCATCTTGTCTTTTTTGATATTTTTGCCCCAAAAAAATCATGATTTTCCTAAAAGATATATTTCTCACAGCTTTTCAAGTTTTAAATAAAAACTTTAAACTTTTTAGATTTGATGTAACATAAAATAATTCAAAAAATTTGTCAAAAAAATCAAAATTAAATTGAATTTTTGCGTGACGACAGTGTTTCCACAATGTCATTTTAAAATTTTTTTATTAGAGAATCTATCTAAGAACTCATTTTATAATTAATATTTTTAAAATTGATCAATAAATTAAAAATTTTATTCTTAAAAATCATATATATCAATTTTTAAAAGCTTTATTCTTGTAAATCATATATATCAATTTTTATATTAATTCAATATTTATAATTTTTTGATAAAAAAACTCTATTTAATAATATATATTTAATGATATTAAAATTTGTATAATCAATAAAATAATTAAATCTATTAAGACAATCTAAAAATTTACATACTTGATCTATATAAATAAAACTTTCAATTTAATAATTAATTTTACCAAATATTAATTAAAAAAATAATTTTTTAAATATATCTTCTTAAAAAAAATTTAAAAAGATCTACAAAATATTTTTCTCTTTTTGCATTTGGTTCTTAATTGCTGACTTTTAGAGAGGCATGTCTTATCATGCAAGGACTAAGGTGAAATAAGGAAGAAAAAGGGGATCAAAGTAACTGGCGGGCGAAATTTTCAGAAAGCCACCAGACCTCCTTCCTCTTCCATCCGTTCCTCGCGCTCCATGCTCTCCGTTCTCCAAGCTGCAGGTCCCCACGCCTCAGTAGTCTGGATGTTGAGACGAGAAATCCAGAGTTTCTGCAGTCCGTCTCTGCCTCTTGGCCACCTTCAAAAAAGCAGCAATGGTCGAGAGAAAGAGGAAGCAATATTAGCTCCATCCGACCGAAGTCTGTGAGGGAGGAAAGAAAAATCGAACGGTGATGACGAATGAGGGAAAGAGAGACTAGGGTCTAGGGTTTCAGTTGTTCTTGTTTAAATTGAGAGGGGGGTGTTTCAAGTCCTATGATTACCCGTCAATTCTTTAGCATCACCAAGCAACGCTGGTTCAAAAATTTTCATACATCGCAACTTGTTCACCAGCTGTTCGACAGAATGCCTGAACCAAAATCACACACCCCCATCTCCCCGATTAACCAGCCTTTGTTCAGTTGTTTACATGCTAACCTCCCTGTTAATGCCTTGCAACGGTTTAGGGCACTTCTTATCTCGGGAAATGTTAGTGCCATTGATGAAGTTACCCTCGCCCTGGCTCTCAAGGCTTGCTGTGGAGACTCGAATTTTGGGTCCCAAGTTCACGATTTTGCTATCACGTCTGGGCTCATTTCGTTTGTTACTGTTTCAAATTCGCTGATGAATATGTACTCAAAATCTGGGCAGTTTGATAAGGCTCTGTGCATGTTTGAGAGCTTGAGTGATCCTGATATAGTTTCATGGAATACTGTACTCTCTGGATTTCTGGACAGTGAAGATGCATTGAATTTTGTTGCTAGGATGAATTTCAGTGGCCTTGTTTTTGATGTGGTGACATACAGCACCGCACTTTCTTTCTGTTTAGATGATGAAGGCTTTCTTCTTGGGCTGCAGTTGCATAGCCTTATAATGAAGTTTGGACTGGATTGTGAGATTTTTGTAGGGAATGCACTTATAACAATGTATTCAAGGTGGAAGAGTTTAATGGAAGCTAGGAAAGTATTTGATGAAATGCCAAATAGGGATTTGGTTTCGTGGAATGCAATGCTGTCAGGGTACACTCAGGAAGGGAGTTATGGGTTGGAAGCAATTGAGGCATTCATTGAAATGGTGAGAATGAGGATGAAACTTGATCATGTATCCTTTACTAGTGCAGTTTCTGCTTGTGGCCATGAGAGGAACTTAGAGCTTGGGAGACAGATACACAGTGTATGTATCAAAGGAGGATATGGGACACACATTTCTGTTTGTAATGTTTTGATCTCATTATATTCGAAGTGTGAGCTTGTTGAAGATGCAAAATTGGTGTTTTGGAGAATGAATGATCGCAATGTTATCTCTTGGACTACTATGATTTCTACTGATGAACAGAATGTTGTGCCTCTCTTTAATGCAATGAGATCAGAAGGTGTTTATCCAAATGATGTTACCTTTATTGGATTGCTCCATGCCATAACCAATAGAAAATTAGTGAAAGAAGGGCAAATGATACATGGCTTATGTGTGAGGACTAACTTCTTGTCAGAATCAAATGTTTGCAATAGTCTAATCACCATGTATGCTAAGTTTGAGTCCATAGAGGACTCTGTTAAGATATTTGAGGAGCTTGGCAGCAGGGAGATCATTTCATGGAATGCTTTAATTTCTGGGTATGCTCAAAATGGATTGTGTCTGGAATCTTTGAGGACATTCTTGTCAGCAGTTGTGGAATGTAAACCAAATCAATACACATTTGGTAGTGTTTTGAGTGCAATTGGTTCTGCTGAAGCCATATCCCTAAAACATGGTCAACGGTGCCATTCTCACATAATAAAGTTTGCATTGAATACTGATCCAATTGTGTCCAATGCCCTTCTTGATATGTATGCAAAGCGAGGGAGCATTTGTGAGTCCCAAAGGGTTTTTCATGAGACACCTGAAAGGAGCACATTTGCTTGGACAGCAATAATATCTGCATATGCAAGGCATGGAGACTATGACTCTGTGATGAATTGGTTTGAAGAGATGAAGAGGGAAGGGATCACACCTGATGCCATCACCTTTCTCTCTGTATTAACAGCATGTGGCAGGAAGGGAATGGTTGATATGGGACGAAAACTTTTTGACTCATTGAAAAAGGATTATCAGATTGAACCATTTTCAGAGCATTATTCGTGTATGGTAGATATGTTTGGGCGTGCTGGGAGATTGAAAGAGGCAGAGGAGCTGATGAGTAGCATTCCTGGAGGGCCAGGGTTGTCTATGTTGCAGAGTTTGCTTGGGGCTTGTAGGATCCATGGGAATGTGGAGTTGGGTGAGAGAGTGGCTCATGCTTTGATGGAGTTGGAGCCCACGGAGTCAGGTTCTTATGTCTTGATGTCAAACTTGTATGCAGAGAAGGGGAACTGGGAGAAGGTAGCGACAGTAAGGAAAGGGATGAGAGAAAGGGGAGTGAAGAAGGAAGTGGGGTTTAGTTGGGTGGATGTTGGTGACACCAATAGTTCCTTGTCTTTGCATGCGTTCTCGTCAGGCGACACTTCTCACCCACAGTCTGAGGATATTTGTTTGATGGCAGAATGCTTGGCATTGGAAATGAAATTTTTGAAAGATAGAAACAGACACAGAGAAAGTACACTTGCAATATAACCTTGCCTCTGCAGGAAGCTTCAAGGTGCTCAATGTAGGGCATTGGGAGCTACTTCAACTGTCTAACACAAAATGAATTGTCTTTTTCTTATGTTATTGTACACTAAGAAAAAGGTGATGCAAACATTTTTTTCATCAATTAAAGAGCACTAGAATGTGATGGGGAGTGGGCAAACTCTAGCTGTCTTCTAGTAGTGGAATGCAATCAAAGTTTCAAATGGATTCTAACATTCTGCAATCTTCGTTGACATTTTTTGTTTTAAATCATTGTTCAGTTTGGAAAAAGAAAATGGAGTTTGTCTGAGTTGGGTAAAGGATCTTATTTCATTAAAACGACGTATGAGATATGTAGGAAGAACAGAACCTGGCTTCAAACAGGTAGGTAAGTTGCATGGTTAATTCTCTGCCTTTTATTTTCCTTCTTCCTAGTATGAAACCCACTGATCTGTATCTTATATCATTCCCTTATATAGTTTCACTCTTCCAGGGATATGTGTTGCTCCTATGCATGTTGTTCCCATTGCATGAGGAAGGAGACAGTTCATATAGGAGTTGTCCTCATGCTTGTTCTTTATTCTTCTATTTGTTTTCTTCCTATGATGAATGTTTACATTTTGATGATATTATTTATCTAAATTCAGGTGACCAGCACTTTACATGTAATTTTTCTTGAGTTTCTGATATTTTGCAAGGCAAATGAATGTGGGCAACATATTTATTTTGGATATTACTCTGCCCAGGATTTGAAGAAGCTGCTGCCTGAGGATCTGAGGGGCAGGTTGAAAGGCAACCTTTACAGTGTAGGTTAGAATGGAAATGGATTCAGAAGACTTGCTAAGGTAGGAATCAATGAATCCAATACTGAATTTAAAGAGAAAGAAACTCTCAGATTTTCCTGGGAGATTATTGACATCCTGATTGATTGGGTTATTCCATGTGTGGAGCCTGTTAAGTGAAGCTTATGTGTTAAATAGCACTTTGGCCAATCTAGACTAGTGGTGAGCAAAGTGCAAGTATGGTCTCCCTATGAGGCTTAGTTATGGGTAGGGTATGAGTCCTACCCGTATCTTGAAAATTTTGGATTCTGAACTTTTAAAAGTTGGAAGTATGGGAGCCCCTGGTGGAGCCATTCGATGGAATATTTAAGTAAATTCTTTATTGCATCACCTGTAATTTGGGTTTTTTACAAATAATTACACAATCCTGACATAGATTTATTTTCCTTTGCTAATCATCCTTTTTTCCCCTTTAAAGGTTTGAAACGTATGAGACCAATGCCCATGCACTATCCAGACTAGGAAAGAGAATGCATATTGCTGCTACTAATATTGTGAATATAAATGTCATTGTAGAGACCATTCCTTCATGGAGGAGACAGTTAATGCTTGAACGGAGAACAACCAAGCTAATTAAGGTCAATTCAACTCTGGCTTGTTTTAGTTCCATGAATATTTAGTTAATTTTACATACTGGATCAGGATGTATGCTTTCTAAAAGCCTAAATAGCTTGCTACTTTTTCAGGAGGCAGATAGGCATTCTAGACAAGGAGAAGATCAAACCTTTTCTGCACTGGATGAAGATGATTTTCAGACTGTAGTAGCAGAGAGTAAACTTGGGCATGATTTGTTTTCTAAGAAAGTTTGAGCAGAACTCTAACATAGTTGAACAATTACATCATGGTGACCGTGCTTCAGTTTGGATTCCACCTGCAATGTTTTCAGATCGCTTAAATCCAGTGGCCTGTGCTTTCTGTTGCAGGCTTGTAGCATTCAAGTTCAAATTTTAATGCAAACCCAGCTATCTCCGACCTTATGTTGATTTTTATCAGCCACAGCTACTACACACCAGAAAGGTTAAAGAAAAAGGTGAAAATGATTCTTCTTAGAAGTAGATGTACTGTGAAACACATTAATTATCATCATATTTAAAAGAATGAGGTTGTGGGTTTTCGGTCTGGAGCTTTTTTTGGTCCATCTGAACTGAAAGAAAAATAATGTTGTTTTGTTCTGGTTTATTGTAACCACGCAAACATCTAGGGAACAAGTCATTTTTTATGGAGACTCAACATCCATACATTAATAGAATGGGTTTTGGTTTTTTCAGAAGGAACTATATTTAAAAACATCATTTTAAACAGATAAAAATATAATTTATTTATAAACTTTATCTTTATAAACTTTTTTGAGATAACTCAGGAATAAAAAAAAATTATGATGTGTTAATATTTAAAATACCAAAATTATTCATAAAATTATTTTGATATTCTTAATAAATTTAAATATCCTTGCATACTAATTTATTTAGAATATTTAAATGTTTTAACAAAGAATTGACATTCTAATTGTTAAAATTCTAATTTTTCTTAATCCCATCCAAAAGCACTTTTCTCGTGGATGCTTACTTTAACTCCTTTGACCATAGGAACTTGGAATTGCCATTGGTAGTGATTAATTTAGTTGTCTAAAATTTCTTAACATTTTAATCGTTAAAATATTCACAATCTTGTCAAAAATAGATACACGTTTAATGTAAGTGTAGTCATTGGTTTTTTTTTTTTTTTTTAACAAAGGACAAATTTAGGGGGAGGGGAAGGGGTTGAACCCAAAGAACGAGGTTGGGGACAGACATCGTAAACCAATCAAATTGTAAAGTAACCTCAATAAATAATTCAATAATTAAAAGTTTAAGTTGAAAATTTTAAATTTAAATTTTGAGTCAAATAATAGAAGATTTAAGAAAAATAAATTATCTTTTCTTTTATAATATATTCAGATATACTAAAAATCAACTTGTAAAGTTAGGCATGTAAGTGTAATTATTGTTATTAATAAATTATTACAGCCATCAAACTTGCATTTAATTAAATTAATAATAATAATTTTTTAATAAATAATTATAATGCCTACAAATATTAATTTATAAATTAATTTTAATTTATTAAATAATAAATATTAATTATTTTATCAATTATTATT